CTGCTGCACGCCTCCTTCGGCCTCGCCCTCGCCGCCTCCCTCCGCCTCACCGTCGCCACCTCCTCCGTCCGCCTCGCCCTCGCCGCCGCCGCCGTCCGCCTCGCCCTCACCGCCACCGCCGTCCGCATCGCCCTCACCGCCGCCGCCCTCGCCGCCTCCGCCTTCACCGCCGCCGCCCTCGCCGCCGCCGCCCTCGCCGCCGCCGCCGCCTTCACCGCCTCCACCCAGCCCGCCGCCGAGCCCTTCCCCGCCCTCGCCGCCTCCGCCCTGGCTACCACCGCCCACGCCGCCGCCGCCATCGCCCCTCGATTGTCCGACCCTTTACGCGTCAGGGAGGTCAGACGCCATGGCTGAATTGAACAAATGGTGCAGCCAGCTTGTCACCAATATTGACGGACCCTGCTCAAGCTTTTATGCCGTCAATCCTATTGGGCTTCCATACCACAGGTACTGCCATGACAACGGATCCGGGGGATGCTATGGCGGCGAAAAATTTCTTTGCACTCCGCCTTCCGCACCTCCTCCCTCGCCGCCACCGCCGTCGCTGCCGCCGTCGCCATTGCCCTCACCACCACCGCCCTCTCCGCCTCCCTCGCCGCCGCCGCCGTCCCCGCCGCCGCCGTCCCCACCGCCCTCGCCGCCGCCCTTCCCGCCACCCTCACCGCCGCCTCCGCGCCCACCGCCATCACCGCCGCCCTCACCGCCGCCACCCTTGCCGCCGCCACCGAGTCCTCCCCCGCCGGCGCCGCCGCCACCATCTCCACCGCCATCGCCTCCTCCGCCAAGCCCGCCACCCTCACCACCACCGTCGCCGCCACCACCTTCACCACCACCGTCGCCGCCACCACCCCCGCCTCCTTCCCCGCCGCCGCCGCCGCCGCCGCCCTCACCGCCCCCGCCGTCACCCCCGCCGCCGCCACCGCCCTCGCCGCCGCGGCCCTCACCGCCGCCACCTCCCCCACCCTCGCCACCACCATTACCACCACGACCGTCCCCGCCACCTCCGCCCTCGCCTCCGGGCGTTCACAGTAAGCCGCCGCCCTCGCCGCCCTCGCCACCGCCACCGCCATCTCCGCCACCGCGCCGAAGCCCGCCCCCCCCCCCTCCGCCGCCGTCGCCGCCACCGCCCTCTCCTCCTCCGCCGCCGCCACCTTCGCCCCCGCCGCCGTCGCCGCCCCCGCCCCCGCCACCGTCGCCGCCGCCTCCACCACCGCCGTCACCGCCGCCCTCGCCGCCGCCATCACCGCCGCCGCCGTCGCCACCCCCATCACCGCCGCCGTCGCCGCCGCCACCTTCCCCCCCTCCGCCCTCGCCACCGTCGCCCTCGTCGCCGCCACCTTTCGCCGCCGCCACCCTCACC